CGCCCCACCGCGCATCCCACCGCGCATCCCACCGCGCAGTCCACCGTGCGCCCCACTGCGCATCCCACCGCGCATCCCACCGTGCACCCCACCGTGCGCCCCACTGCGCATCCCACCGCACAGTCCACCGTGCACCGCACCGTGCGCCCCACCGTGCGCCCCACCGCGCATCCCACCGCGCAGTCCACCGTGCGCCCCACCCTGCGCCCCACCGTGCTCCCCACCCTGCATCCTACTGCGACGGAGCAGCCGGCATCCCCGTTCCCACACTCGGCTCTCGGGTCTGTGGCACAAGCCACCGCAAAGCCCACGCCGCTCACTTCAGCGACACCTCCAGCCACAGCGGGTTCCAGGGAAGACGTTTTCTTCAATCACGTGGGGATCCCCAGAACCGAGACACCCCCAGGGAGTTACGAGGGAACCCCGCCTACGCGGAGGCCACCGGAATCATCCACCCCCTCGACCAGCCTCGACGCACTGAACTTAACTCCAAAGGAGCTGAGGAAAGGAGCCTCTGACGGGGGGACCACAAACATCCTTCCGCACGGCCCGCATCCCCAGCACCAACCGGGCAGAGTCCAGACCGTCCACCACGCGGCCAGAGTCCCCGACCAACCCGTGCCACCAAGAGGGACTGCACGGCCAGCACACACCACCACACGACACCCCTCCAGACACTCTGTCACCTTCCAGCCCCCTCGTCACTGGACCAACAAACCGCAGATAACGGCATACCCATCCAGGGTCTGGCCAGAACAGAACCACTTGACGACGCCGAAATCACTGAGCGTGGCCACCGCCGTGGTCCCGTGGCACGGCTCCAGGGCCGGCACGCCCACCGACTTCCCTCACCGAGGCACCGAGCGAGCCCAAGGCCACTCCAAAGTGTCTGCGGACGGCCGCCTCCCTGAGCTGACGCAGCCCGCGGGCAAGACTCCGCGTGTGGGGCCTCATCCTTCCCCCGACGGGAGGACCCCTTTCTTTCTCAACAGGACCTTCTCGTTCCCGCAGTGGGCGGCGACCCCGAAGCCGCCTCCAGCCACCGCCCCGGCCCCCGGCACGCGGCCGAGAATAGTCCACACAGGGCCCTACAATCGGATCCATTCTCAGAGCGTCATTCACGTGGAGCGCACGCGGGAGAATAGTCCACACAGGGCCCTACAATCGGATCCATTCTCAGAGCGTCATTCACGTGGACTTCGGGCCCCCGGCGCCCCCCGCACCGCACCGTCCGCAGGGGACGGTGCCACCATCGACGCGCGTGCAGAACGGGCCCGTGCTCTACTCCACCCGCAGCCCCGTCCCCTTCGCGACTTCTTCTGGACAGTCGTCCAGAAGCTTCCATCAGAGCAGCTCCAAGTTCTTCTCTGCCGGGGGACCGCCTGCGTCCAAGTTCTGGACGCTCGGCGAGAAGCCCCAAATTGTCACCAAGTCCCCTCAGACCGTGTCCGTCGCCGCAGACACCGACGTGCTGCTCCCGTGTGAAGCCACGGGGAAACCCACGCCTTTCGTCACCTGGACAAAGGTTTCCACAGGTAAGGTGGCCACGCCTCTGCGTGTTACCCTGGGCTAGCGGCAGAGGTGAGTACTCGAGCCGGTGACCCCCACCTCCCGCGCCCCGCAGAACCGGAGACTGGGAAAAGAACGGGCTGGTGGCATAGGGCAGGGACACCTGAGAACCTAGCTACACACATGTCCCTCTACAGGAACCAGCTACCCAGAGTCCAGGGCTCAGCGCACAGCATGTGCGTCCCATGGCTTTGCAGTCTGTACGCCCAAGGTCAAGCTGTCATCAGCATTTGCTCGTTCTGCGTCCTCTCTCCTGGGTGTGCGGACGCCGTCCCCAACCCGTGTCCTCACGTGGTCGTCCCTCTGCGTGGTCATCTCTCTCACCTCCTCTTCTTAGAAGGACGCAGCCCTATAGGATCAGGGCCCACCCTGGTGACCGTGTCTGACCTTAATTCCCTCTGTAAAGCCCCGTCTCCACACACGGGCACATTCTGGGATCCTGGGGGTGCGGGCGTCAACATCTGAGCTTCTGTGGGGACACCATTCACCCCACGACAGCTGCCTATACTTGGGATCGGGGGGTACCCAGAGCACAGCGTCCTTCACTCAGTGGACCACGTGCTGTGTCTGAGCAGACAAATGACTTCCCGGTGGCAGAAGAGAGTACAGGTCGCAAGCTCCAGCCTCCGCGAAGGGCCCGCCCTGCCCCTTCCTGTTTCCCCCTGTCCTGACTCTGCCGTGTCCTGCAGGCAGAGTTTGCCTTCGGATCACACGGCTTTCGTTCAATTTTCTGGTCTCCATTTCGACAGCTCAGCAGCGGTTTAGGCTAACGGCGCTCGGCAGAGCCATGCCGTCTGCGCGTTCAGCGGACAGGCGTTGCAGGCAAGCGTGCCGGGTGCTAGGTGCTCGGAGCTGGTGACCAGAGGGAGATCAGCATTGGGCATCATCCGTTCCGTGATGATCGCCTGAGGGACTCCGCCTGCAGGAGCAGACGCCAACACCACGGGCTTTTCATTCCGAGGGGACCGTGCCTGTGACGGGAGGGACGTTTCTCTGTGGGGACGTCCCACCGACCCCGTGGCTCTTCCCCATCCCGTGCTTCAGCGGCACTCAGGACACTTCCACGCACGGCCGTCCACATGTGTCGGAGTGCTGACGCCCCCTGTTACTCACCTGTCACCGAGCGCTGTAGTCTCCTGTCATGGAGACGCCCAGTGTCTGTATATTTTTGAGCCTTTTTGGCTGCATGGACCAAATTCATGCCTTTGCTGCAGCCGCCTCATAGGAGCTCCGGCCAATAGGAGGTCTCAGGGGACCCTCCCTCCCTTCCGCCCCACACAAAACGAGGTGACAAGCACCCGGAGCCCTGACGCCCCCTGTTACTCACCTCCGGCCAGTAGGAGGTCTCACGGGACCCTCCGTCCCTTCCGCCCCACACAAAACGAGGTGACAAGCACCCTCCTACCTCTGCACCTTAAAATGCATCGGAAGGAGGTGGCATCTGCAGGTGGGGGACAGAAGGCAGAATTCCGTGACCACAGACACCTGTCATTCGGGTGGCCTCCGACACGAAGCAGGTTGACCTTACGGCTGCAGCTCCTGGAAGGCTGGGAGGCGATGTCCGCGTCAACCGACACCTGTTCTGCAGGGTGTGGGTGGCGGGGCCGATTCACCTGGCCGCCTAGCTCAGCCCGAGGGCAGAAAGCCGTGGCCTTGGCCTCTCCTGGAGGCACATCGGGGCATTTGCTTCAGAGTTTTCTAGGTGCAAGTGCCTTAGTGAGGGGGTGACCTTGGCGAAGGGCATGAGTCACCATCCGGGACGGGGGCGGGCGTTACGGGGAGCTTCCAGCACTCACAGTCTTCACCTAAAGGCAGGCTTCCCGTGTTAGGGACGATCATTGGCAAAGGGGACAGCTGTGTGTCAGCACGAAAGGTGTAGCTCCCAGTCCGGGCCGGGAGCCTGGCGCTGAGCCACAGGAAAGGGTGCCAGAAAATCAGGGTTTCCCTGTTTTTTACGAATGGCGTCTCTGACTCTTCAGGTATGGCGAGGCCGACAGATCAGGGGCAGCTGCCACTGAAAGGCTGGTGGTTCTTTCACGGTTCCTTCCCCATGACACACAGGGCCACACGGGGAAGCGCCAGGGTCCTTCAGGAGGCGGGGGAGGGGAGATGGACAGGAGACTGTGCTTTCTGCAGGAAGGGGCGGGAGACACAGGGCCAGCACGCTCGGGACTGGCGGCTGCCATCATTTCATCAGGGACCGGGGCGAAGACGCTGCCCGTGGCTGTCTGGGACCTGCCTCCGGGTGACCAAGGCACGGGGGATGGTGACCTGGAGTGTGATAGCTGCAGACAGCGGGTGGTGGCTCTGGGCGCTGGCCGGCCGGGATTGTTTACGACAGGGACAACCCTGGGCACATCGTTTGCCCGATCTAAGAACCGGCCTCGGGTGTCCCTGAGACCAGCCTGGGGACATCAGAAGGACCCGTCCAGGCTGAGAGCCGGGCGATGTTCGGACACAGGCTGCAGCTGCAGTCACTGAAGTGAATGAGGTGGCCGCCTGGAGTGGGCCTGCGGCTCAGGGTGGGTTCCCGAACCTTCTATAAAACCCTTTCCGGCTGCCCTTTAGTTTAAGGCGGTCTATGTCCCTGGCATTTAGACTCGAGAAGACCGGTGACCCCAAACATCGTCTCCTCCCCATTCTACAGGTGGGGGGCGGGTCTTCGCTCGCCGTTTTAGAGTTACAGGGGAGACGTTGGCGAATTAACGCGGAACCCCGGGTCGGCGCTCGCTGCAACGGTGCGTCACTCGGGTCCTGACCGCGCCTCTGTTTGGTCCGCAGGCGCGCTCATGACCCCCAACACGAGGCTGCAGCGGTTCGAGGTCCTCAAGAACGGCAGCTTCGTCATCCGCCGCGCGCAGGCGCAGGACGGCGGCCGCTACCTGTGCACGGCCAAGAACCTGCACGGCGCCGACCGCATGCTGGTGCAGCTGTCCGTGGCGGCGCAGCAGCCGCAGATCGTCGCCGGACACTACCAGGACGTCACGGTGTCCCTGGGCGACACCATCGCCATGGAGTGCCTGGCCAAGGGGACCCCGGTCCCGCACATCTCCTGGATCTTCCCCGACGGCAGGGTGTGGCAGGCCGCGTCCCGCGCGCAGGGCAGGGTCACGCTGCACGAAAACCGCACCTTGTCCATCAGGGACGCGTCCTTCGCGGACCGAGGCGTGTACAAGTGCGTGGCCAGCAACGCGGCGGGCGCGGACAGCCTGGCCATCCGCCTGCACGTGGCGGCGCTGCCGCCGGTCATCCAGCAGGAGAAGCTGGAGAACATCTCGTTGCCGCCGGGGCTGAGCGTGCAGGTGCACTGCAGCGCCAAGGCCGCGCCGCGCGCCAGCCTGCGCTGGGTGCTGGCCGACGGCACGCACGTGCGGCCCTCGCAGTTCGTCCACGGCAACCTGTTCGTCTTCCCCAACGGCACGCTCTACATCC